GAGGGCATGACACTGAATTTTTTTTACCTCAACTGATGTTGAGAAGCTCACGCCAAATTTTATCATCTTCTCCCAGCAAAACAATGTGGGATTGCACATTTACGATAGGCTATCATGAGGAAGATAGGAGCTCCCTCCAAGCTCCAAGGCCACCCCTTTTTGGCCACACTTCATAGGGCTTCTGTTCACCTTCCTTCTCCAGCTTTTTATGGAACCACTTCAGATGCCTTTTCAGAATGACTGCACTGATCACCCTCATTTTTGCACATTGAGAGGGGAGCAAATTCATTTTTTCCCTCTCTTGACTCTGCTCTTCCCTACAGTGCCACTGCTCCAACTCACTGACAGAGCAGTGCTGTTGTGGAAAAAGCTTCTAATTTGATAGTTGATGATCTCAACTTACTGCAAGCACCATGAAATTCAGCATTTGAGTAAATAATGTTTACAACCATGCCAGCTGATTGCTATCCTATACATGTTTACCTGGAACTAAGTTTCACTGACCGCTTCTGAGTAAATATGCATAAAACTACATTATAGTAATGCGACTTTGCAGTGGCATCCATAAATTCTGCCATGCATTGGCAGAGACTGGCGAAACGTTACGAAAAACCACCTTCAGAACACGGCCAAGAAGCCCGAAAAACCCACAACAACCACTGTTCTTATGTGTGTTTACATTTAATCTAAAGCAGTTTACAAAAGATTTTTAAAAGTTAATTACATTAAAGTTTTTGTTCAAAAGGGTTTGGGGTATAGTAAAGGAGATATGTACAGATGTTAGGATCTCTTAAAAATAAAAAAGGTGGGAATGGGTCTGACAAGTTCGAAAGTGACCAGTCTGGAGTCTGCTGTTTCCCATATAAATCTGTGCATCACTCCTTTAATTTCTTAGTAAATAATCCTCTGGGAAATATTAGATGTGTCAATGGCGCAACCAATTTGAGAAGGTCAGAGGCCTATAAACATCCATTTTGTCTTGATGACCTCATTTCACACACATCAGATCCTAGGTGTCACAAGTGAAATCAAGGTCTTTTTGGCGCTTGTGGCTTATTTCTACAGCTTGGTCAGAATCCAGACATAAGACTCCTTATCTACCACTTCCTTCTAGGCCAGGCCCTCTCCTGTTCAGGCTATAGTTTCCCCAAGCCAGGCCTGTGTTTCAACATCCTATGTTTGACTGATGGACTGCTCCCAGTTTCCCTCTTTCTCCTCCACAGAAACATGAGAATAGTCTGTGGTTCTCAGTGAGACCACCTGCCTCCTAGTCACTGTTCTTATTCTTTTTGGTGGAATGAAGGAGAATGTGATATTGACCAGGACAATGTATACAGGACTAGAGAAAAGAGAGATACAGACTGAAGGTACAGTGGAAAGCTTTTTGGTATACATGCATGAAGTAATGTGTGTATGTGTCCTGCTCTGCCCTAGCCCATTCTGATTTGGACCCACTCCTGAAATGCAGACCCCATTTAGGTTCCAAGCAAAGTATACACACATGAGCAATGAAAATGATCCTTGTCTTTGTCTTAAAATATACTACATCTGACAGCTACCTAAACTTTCAAGTTACTTACATTTGACAGTGGTGATTTTTGTGATGAATAGGAGTTGCACTGATTTAGAGAAACATCACTCTGTCTTCTGCTTTCACTGTTTCGAAAATGTGTTTCCTTCAAGTTAGTAGTTTGATATTTCGGATCTTTCCTTCTTTTCTCTGTCCAGTCCTCTTTTTTAATGAAATAATCTACATTCAAAATAAAGAAACTGACAATGTAATAGTCAAATATAGACAATTGTCATTCAGGCATGTTTGTTTTATTTTTGTAGACCTGAGAGGTATAAAAATTTACTTTGAAAGGAACATTAATGACACAATCCTAAGCATGTTGCAAAACCTGCATCCACCTAGTTTCAAGGTGAATTTTGCATCTGCAAAATTTCACTTCACTTCACATCTTCCTCATCTTGCTTTTTCCACATCGCACATGGGGGAAATCTTGTAGTTATCTCTGATCACTGAGGCACACAGCAGAATCACCTCCCATAATCTCTCATCAGAAATAGCAGTGGTACTCCACCTTACCCTGATCATATTTGTTTATTTATTTATTTATTTGATTTATATCCTGCCCATCTGGTATATCACACCATTCTGGGCGGCTAACAATCACTATCCTGAAAGGGAAAATGAGTAAGATAGGGATCCCATAGTTACTGTTAGTCACTGATAGGTAAAGATGGAGGCCATCTAAAAATCCTGGCCTAAATGTCAAATCTTATACCCAAAACATTTGCCACTAATTGTGGACATTTCTTTCCTTATTCCTTTTTTTGGGGGTGGGATTAATGCCATCTAACCTGATAAAGAACTCAAAAAATTGTATGGCACTCTGGATACACATAATATTATTGCTCAGCTGTGAATTCTAGTTTTTTTTAATGGATCAGCATAGTTATTTTCATTATGTATGTACGTAATAAATTTCAGAGGCCGTGCCTTGTTTTAGATAAGAAAGAACTATATTGCAGCAAATCCATTTATTTAATCATATCAAAATATAGCAACAAACAAACTAATAAGTGCAAACCTTCTAGCAGTACATCACATTTTCTTATGGTCAGCAAGGCATTATTACTTTTTGCATCTTTGGGTGGTTTCCAGTCATTTGCCATTCTATGGCATCTTCCATACCTGATGGGAAAAACAAATCAAAATGTTAACCTCATCTGTATCTTAAATATGTTGAATCTTTTTTTAACAGATATTTGTTTAATGCTATTTAATTTAATATTTGTTTAAGTTATTACTTAATTTCTAACCATTATAACATTGACTAAAATGTAAGTTATCCCCACCCCACCTCTCTGGAAAAAATGTTAGCAAGACACATACTCCACCTTTTCTTAAAGGTCTTAATTTTTTGTCAAGTCAGTTTTATGACCACAAGTGGGATGATATGGTTGTTTTATCCTCTCACCCTTTGCTCCCATCTTCCATAAAAGAGGGAAGTAAGGTAGCAGAAAAAAATATTTTAGGGGTGGGAGTTTGGCTTCCCTTGTATATATAATTAAAAGGCATTAACACAGCTACACAGGTTGCAGTCCTAAACGCATCTGATGGAAAGGATTAATCCCACTGGATACAGCTAACCTTACTTTCAAGGAAATCCATAACTAAGAGGCAATCAAACCATGAAAGTAACTTTGTAAAGTAACAGGTGCTTCTGCATTTCAATATTCAAATTTATTAACTTAGTATTTATTTAGTACATTAGCGAGAAAGTGGAAGAGGTGAGAGATATTTTTATTTATATTATACTGCTTTTTCAGTACCCTAGTGGCTTATAATACTGCAGACTAAAAGTATGTCTACATCCACTGAGTCTCAATATACTGAGTACATTTCTACTGACAAAGGCCCAGTTTTCATTGAGGCAACAAATCCATTCCTGGATTATATTTCTTCAGACTACACGGGACAGCCATGATCAGAGCCTCCTGCTTTGAAAAGCACATTCCTTAAAAAAAAAAGCAGGTGTTGGGGGAAAGAGTCCACTTTATATTTCTTCCTGGATTTATAGTTGTTCATATGTAGAATATACTATACAGTATACTGTTCAAACAAAGGCCCATTTTATCACGCATCAGTCTATGGATCAAAACAGTGCAGCCAAGATGCAGGGCTACTTATTCGGTTTAGAGATGAGGGTATCTGTATTTGAATACCCCTGCAGAGGTGGACATAACGAGGGCCCAGCCCATGGGGCCGGACGATCCCACTCACAATTCCTCTGCTGTCATAACCTCTGCAGTCCTTCCTATCGCTCCGGATCTCACAATCTGCTCGCCATGTCTGGAAGGAGGCGGGACCACAAGCCTCGCTGCCAGGTTGAAGAGTGGCTCACAGATTAAAACATTAATATTAATAAATCCTGCTGCTCATGTGACAGCATGCGGGAGAGCTTGCAATCTGGCGGGGAATGTGAAGAGGCATCAGTTGCATAGACCCAAACTTTCAAGTCGGACTTATTTATGTGTGGCCAGCACAGTTTACTTTTGTGATTCTTTTCTGAAACTGAAATTGCAGGAGTATGTGAGGCCAGTTTATTTACTTCTTTTTGGAAATTATACTATTAATTAATTTTTAGAAATGTTAAGGGAATGAAAACTAAACTAAGACGATAACTGTTCTGAACATGAATTATCAAAAGCTAAGAAGCAGTGAGGTGTAGTGTATAGATGACCCAGTACTTAAGAGATCTGGGTTCAAATCCCCATTTGGCCATGGAAACTCACTGGGCAATGGCACTAATAAAATAGCTCTTAAATATCAGCTCTTAACTATCTCACATACTTTGAAAAGTATACATTTACAGTGATCTATTAGGGTCACTGTAAATCAGATGTGACTTGGCAATATGTAATATAACGCATATAACTACAGCTTCTTAAATCAGAATGGAGATGAATGGCTCATCCAGTGGTATAGCAAAACTTACAATAGTGTTCTGTCACAGCATTAGGACAAGTGCTGGCACACACTTTGACACAACTGCTTTGCTCTTTAAACTAGTGGTCAAGGTTCTTGCTAAGCTCTGTGTGCATGCTCGCATGAATCCGCTTCCCTCTGCGCAGCTATCTTCCTCCTCCGTGCAGTGATCATGTTAGGTTCTGGTTGCGATGGAACCTAGTGTGTGTGTGGGGGGGCAGAGTTGTGCACGCATGCAGCGTTGGAGTCACATGTGCGAGAGGTGGAGCCCTGCCCAGCCTGGCTAAAAATTAGAGGGTACGTTACTAGTGGTCCATTATTGAACTTTCCTGCTTCTCTTATGACTTCTTTTTCAATTTATTATAATTTTTGACATCTACTGTTAGAAATGCCAAACAACAAGGACTGGATTTGGAAGGTTCTAATTGCAAAGCAAACTGCAGACATCTTCTTCCATTTTCAAATTACTGTCCCTAATTCAATTTTATAGATGACAAGATAGTCACTGATCTTGTCAGAAGTTGTTTCTAGTAACTGTTCTCCCCTTTCAAACAAAAGAGTGGTCAAATTGACCAGATAGGCGGGGCATAAATTAAACAAACAAACAAATAAATAAAAGTGGAGGAATTTGCCCAAGCGCTTGAGGAAACCCTTCCAGGCTCAGCTGATGCAAATGCACCTGAACGATGGGAACATTTCAAGAACACTGTTTATAACACCACATTGTCTACATTTGGCAAGAAGACCAAAAAGATGGCAGATTGGTTTGAAGCCCATTTGGAGGAGCTGATGCCAGCCATCGGGGAAAAGAGGAGAGCTTTAGCAGCATACCAAGCCTGTCCTAGTGAGTACAACTTGCAGGCTCTTTGAGTTGCTTGTAGCAAAGTTCAACAGGCTGCCAAGAGATGTTCTAATGATTATTAGATTCTACTCTTAGATAAAGACAGCAGCAGACACAGGTAAGATCAAGGGAATGTATGATGGTATCAAGCAAGCTTTGGGTCCAATACAGAAGAAATCTGCTCCTTTGAAGACTGCTACAGGCGTGATCATCCAGGACCGAGCACAGCAGATGGAATGCTGGGTGCAACACTACTCTGAGCTATATTCTAGACAGAATGTAGTAACTGAAGAGGCATTAAATAACATCGAGTGCCTGCCTGTCTCGTTAGAGCTGGACAGTGAACCAACTTCAGCAGAAATAAAAGCAGCCTTGTATTCCCTTGCCTCTGGCAAGGCACCTGGAAAGGATAACATCCCCGTTAAAGTTTTGAAGTGCTGTAAAGAGATCATCGCCACCGAGCTGTATGAAGTCTTTTGTCTTTGCTGGAGGGAAGGTGGAGTACCACAGGACATGAAGAATGCAAACATCGTCACATTGTATAAGAAGGCGACAGGGGCGACTGCAATAACTACCGTGGTATCTCTCTTCTCAGCGTTGTAGGGAAGCTGCTGGCCCGTGTTGTGCTGAAGAGACTCCAGGTGCCATGGAGACAGAGTCTATCCAGAATCACAGTGTGGATTTCGAGCTAATAGATCCACCACTGACTGACATGGTATTTTCCCTCAGACAGTTGCAGGAGAAATGTAGGGAACGACAGCCACTCTTTGTGGCCTTCATAGATCTTACAAAGGCCTTTGATTTGGTTAGCAGGGATGGCCTTTTTAAAATACTTCCTAAGATTGGATGTCCACCTCAACTCCTTAATATCATGAGGTCCTTTCATAAGGAAATGAAGGACACTGTAGTTTTTGATGGCTCAACATCAGATCCCTTTGACATCTGAAGAGGAGCTAAAGAGGGATGTGTCCTCGCATCGACCCTGTTTTGGATCTTTTTTGCTGTCATGCTGAAGCACATCTTTGGAACTGCAACAGAAGGTGCCTATCTCTGGACTAGATCAGATGGAAAACTCTTTAATCTCTCTAAATTGATAGCGAAGACCAAAGTCCAGCTGAAATGTATGTGGCAGTTCCTCTTCGCCAATGATGGAGTTACTGTTGCCCATTCTGCTGAAGAGCTCCAACGACTTATGAATCATTTTAGTAAGGCCTGCCAAGACTTTGGATTAACAATCAGCCTGAAGAAAACACAAGTCATGGGCCAGGGCCTGGACTGACCTCCGTCTATTACCATCTCTACAAAAGAATTGGAGGTTGTTTATGACTTTGTGTACGTTGGCTCAACGATCTCTGACACTCTCTCCCTACATGTCAAGCTGGATAAACACATTGGCAAAGCAGCTACCATGTTCTCTAGACTCACAAAGAGAGTATGGCTTAATAAGAAGCTGATGGTATATACCAAGATCCAGGTCTATAGAGCTTGTGTCCTGAGTACACTCCTGTACTGCAGTGAGTCCTGGACTCTTTGTGCATGGCAGGAGAGGAAGCTGAACATGTTCCATATGCATTGTCTCCGACGCATTTTTTGTATCACTTGGCAAGGCAAAGTTCCAAATAGAATAGTCCTAGAATGAGCTGGAATTGTTTTAGCATGTATACATTACTGAAACAGCAACGCCCACATTGGCACGGGCATGTCATGGGAATGGCTGACGGTCGGATTCCAAAAGATCTCCTGTATGAAGAATGAGTGCAGGGAAAGCACCCCAGAGGGAGACCACAGCTGCGATACAAGGATATCTGCAAGCAGGATCTGAAGGCTTTAGGACAGCCTCTTTGCCTTGGCCTGCTAAACAAGTGTCTCTTCAAATTGGGAGAGGCCATGCTGCACCACCTGCCTCCAGGTTGAAAGCTCAGATGTCAATATTTCCCATCTGTTGAGGTCCATTCCTAAGGCCTTCAGATCCCACTTGCGTACAGTGAGATAATGCATGAACAAGGGTTCATACTTAATACTTTTTAACAGCATCTACACTTTCTAAGCTCTGTGCTTATCTGGGGACATTATAAGGGATTCCAATTTACTTTACTATTACATTACACCTCTACTTTAAGAAAGCTGCAACAAAATGCTTTCCTACATGGAAGTCCTTTCAAATCAATGCAATTATATTAGAAACTTCTGGATAGAGAATCTTTCTGGAATCTCTATTTCTCAAACACTTTCTTCATGTGCACTCCTCCATAGGAGTCATTCTAATCAAAAGTTCTAAATGAACACTTATGCTGAAAAAAATGCAAAAGGAGACTGTAAACTTCTTTACAAGCAAAATACACAAAAAGCTAATACAGCTCAAATCACTCTGATCCCCACCAATCTGAATTAGCAAGTTATACATGTGTAAATCTTTTTCCAACTAAAATCACTGGAACTTAATAAGTACTTAACTCTAAATCAACTGTGTCCTATGTTTGTTACTTCAAATGTTGTACTGACTTCAATTTGGTTGTACTGCACTAGCTTTACTGCTACGTTAAGGATGAAAAATAATCAGAACACTGTGCTGAATGACATACCTTTTAGATAAAATACGGCTTTGTTGACAGCTTATTTTTTGACATGATTCTAGGTTGGCAATAGATGAGGAGAGCTGTTCATCTGACTGCAACATGTTAGCATCTGATACATTAAGATCATTTAAAAGCTGTCTTTGCATATATTGTCTTCCTGTTTTCGTCCTCAAAACATTCGTCAAGGTAACTTTGGGTTGCCTGCCATACATATAATAATTAATATTCTGAAACCGATTTAGTTGAATGACTTTATGTTAACTGTTTGCACAGTCCCAAATTTTTATTAAATGTAATTATCAAGAAACATATAATAATGAATGAAAACAGATAAAATAAGTAGAGTGGTTCAAAGAAGGGATGTAGAGAAGATCGGTAAAAAGTGGTATGGATTGTCTTAAATTCTTTTTGCACCTTAATTTTTGTTATGAAAAGTTAGAGCATGCATAAAATCATAGAGTAAATAAAGAACACCCTCTCTGAACAGAAGGGGTGGGTGGGAAGTGTATCTCATATGAATGCAGTGTTTGGCTGCCAAGCTGTGGATGCAAAAAGATTGACAAAGTAAGGGATTTCCCCTTGTCAGTTTCTGAAGATACTAAGTAGTATTTTGGTGCGTGTGAATCACATGCGCTGCTGTTAATGAAAAGAAGCAGCTCCCACACCGAAAAGCTTATACAGAAACATCCATCTATTTACAGTAAGACTGTCAGAAAATGGTTTCTCATTTAACTTTGTATGCACAACTAATCTTGAGGTCCATTGAAGCTGATGAGGATGATCTTTCTTTCCTTCTTTCTTTCTTTCTTTCTTTCTTTCTTTCGAGACTAGTTCTTTTTCATAGTGTAATCTGTCTCTTTCTTTTAAGGCCACTGCAGCTGTGGCAGACATAGTGAAGGGGAAATGGGAAGCTCTGCTGATTACCCTGTACAAACTTCTGTTACTGTTGCATTGTGTGCTATCAAGTGACTTCTGACAGACCCTACAAATTCATGGCACACAAAATGTTCTATCAGAAACAGTCATGCTCAGTCTTCTTTATTGAGTCAATGCACCTCATGTTGGGTCTTTTTTTTCCTGCTGACTCTTCCCAGTAGTACTGTGTTTTCCAGCAAATCTTGTCTTCTCATGATATACCCTTTGTATAATACCATGAGATTACTATTTTTTTTTTACTTCTAGAGAGTGTTCAGCCTTTGCTTAATCCAGCACCCACTTCTGAAAATCCATGGCATCTCTAAAGTTCTTCTCCAATGCCACATCAAATAATTCTTCCTGTCAGATTTCTTCACTTCTAGCTTTCAAATCCATACATAGTAAGTTGGAATACTGCTGTATAGATGATTGTACACATGATCTTGGCCTTGGTTGCCAGCCACACGTTTTTACCTAAAGGATTTTTTTTAGTTCTTAGCAGCAGCCTTTTCATGTATGTCTTCCAGTTTCTTAACTGCAACCTCCATTTGGAGAAATGATTGAAGGAAGGTATAGAAAATTCTTAACTATTTCAAATTTTTTATTTTCAAATTTAAATTAATATAATCCTTCTGTACTCATTGGCTGAATCCAACTGAACAACTATTCCAGGCATAAATGGTGAAGATGTCGTTGCCCAGTGCCATTAACCTCTATTTTAATTTAAATTAAACTCTCCTCCTCCTTTTTAGGTTCCAAGATTCCCTAAGGATCCCTTTTGTCTGGGGCAACATTTGGAAGCCTTGGGCCAGGGGGAGCCCTTAATATTGGGGTTGCTGGTGGCAGTCTCAATCCAGCAGCAGCATTTTTTTCTGATATTTTCATTCATTCATTTGGTTTCTATACCACCCATCTGGCTACTAGGCCACTCTGGGCTGTTCAGATATTAAACATTGAGTTCCAAACAATAAACATAATAGTATAATGTGAAATCAAAATAAAGATAAAACAACCAACATTTTAAGTAATAATAATATAAAATAATATAGAGCAAGACAGCAGGACTGATAGTATAAATGTTGTGATTTCCTTTAGAATGGATAGGTTTGTTCTCCTTGCAGTCCAAGGGACTCTCCAGAGCCTCCTCCAGCACCACAATTCAAAGGCATCAATTCTTCAGCGGTCTGCTTTCTTTACTGTAAATCACTGTAATCCAAGTTTATGTTCGTTTAGTCGTTTAGTCATGTCCGACTCTTCGTGACCCCATGGACCAGAGCACGCCAGGCCCTCCTATCTTCCACTGCCTCCCGGAGTTGGGTCAGATTCATGTTGGTTGCTTCGGTGACACTGTCCACCCATCTCATCCTCTGTCGTCCCCTTCTCTTGCCTTCACACTTTCCCAACATTAAGGTCATTTCCAGGGAGTCCTCTCTTCTCATGAGATAGCCAAAGTATTGGAGCCTCAGCTTCAGGATCTGTCCTTCCAGTGAGCACTCAGGGCTGATTGCCTTTAGAATAGATAGGTTTGTTCTCCTTGCAGTCCAAGGGACTCTCCAGAGCTTCCTCCAGCACCACAATTCAAAGGCATCAATTCTTCAGCGGTCTGCTTTCTTTACTGTACATCACTGTATTAAGGTGTTGCAATTAAGGTATTGTCAAAAAGGCCTGAAGGCCTGTCAAATAGCCATGTTTTTAAGGTGGCTTCTCCTCTTTTAAAAGCTTCTCCTCACCCTATTCTGAGACTCCCAAAGGCTTCCACAGGGCAAAGGGGATCCTTAGAGACCTTTGGAAGTTGAAGCAGGAATGGAGAAAGGAATAGCGAGTAGATTTTTCTGAGCCTGGACATATACCCAATAACGTCAGTTTCTGCTGCCAGACCACGTGTAGGATATTTCTGTGTGTCTCATCTATCTATAAATTATTTTTCATGCTCTACACCCCATCAGTTTATATTTATGGTATCGAACAGTATTTTCAATGCAAAACACAATGTTCTGTTGACATGCATAAAAAAGTCCTATGGGAAAGCCAAGGGGTTCACAAAGGAATGGATTAAGTTGCTACTGGTAACATAATTATGTCTTCTGTGCAAAGGGAAGAAATGAAGAGTCAAAAGACGATTTTAAAAAACAAGAAGATTTTCAAAATAATATTTTTCCCCTGGGATACACTAATATCTCTTACAAGGGATTAATACAGACTTTTCTTCAATAGAATTGTGGAAAGAACACAGTAGCTAAGAGTGCAAATAGCTAGGATTAGTCCCTATGTTAGTAAACAACTAATCTGAAGTCTCACAAGATAATCTCCTTCTCAAAGTACAGTGCAGGTTTCAAGAATGATTCTTAATATTGTACGGAAGGCAAGAAATGCTAATGGCAACAGAATAACAAAGGATATTTATTCATGATTGCATGCAATTTCTTTTAATAATAGGTAGACAAAGATGTATTATGTCTGAAATAATCAGACTTAACAGAACATACCTTTCAGATATTAAAAGGCTTTCACGAAGAGGACTTAGTATTTGCCATATCTCTACACTGTCAACAGATGATGAGGTTTGTTGATCTGTTTGCAACTTGACACCATGAGATAAATTAGCATCATTTATTAGCTGTGTCTTTATGTATTTTCTTCCTATTTCCGTCTCCAGGACATTCGTCAAGATAACTTTGGGTTGCCTGCCATACCTATAATAATGATGATGATAAATAATGATGTCTAAAGATACAAGAATTCAGTAAAGTTTCCTACATTCTTATATTTTCATTTAAAATTATTTCAGCCAAGGATGTGTACTGTACTGACAGAAGTTAAGACTCCCTCTCCAAATTCTTCCTAGAGACACCTCTGTTTACTTTTCATTGAGCACTTGTGATGATCTTTAAAATGGTGATTATAAATCATGCTGTAAAGGTTACTCCTTTGTAAACGTCTAACTTTAGAGATGCCTACAGTGTTACAGATAAACTATGACCTGTTTCTGTTTAACAAAAATCAACTGGATGCATTCATTGAAAGGTAATGAACAGCAATGCAGGAAACTGCAAGAGGAAACACAGACTTGTCTGGTAGCACAAGTTCCCTGAGATCACAGAATGATCAGGACATAGAACCAATCCACCTAATCCAAGATCTTGCCAGATATTTCTTTATAACTACATATAGTTTCTTCTTCTTCTGGGATCAAAGCCCATGTTAGGAAAACAGCAATAAACTTCAGGCAATAAATGCAGGAGACTAAGCCTGTCAGCAGTGTTGCGCTGGGGTTTCTTCGGCCATTACAGAACTTTTACCCCAGGAAATTATTTGATTTTAGGGAATCAAAATCCTTTCAAACCAAGAAGAAATATGGAAACTACAAAGAAACACAACAAGGCTTTCCTAAAGGCAATCTCATCTCTTTATCATGAATGTAATATGAAAGCAAAGCCCAGAAAGTTTAGATGTAAGAGGTAACTTCACCAGATTTATATCTGCAGAATTATTTAGATATTATTATTAGTTTAAAAATTAATTATTTTTAAAATACTAATTATTTAGATTTAGACACATGTTTTAAAATATATTCCATAAATTATGCATATAACATGCACCACAGAAGCACGTTTTGAGTCCTGGACATTGGCGTGACTCTCCAGATTTTTTTTAACTAACTGCCACATAAATGGGGGAAAAATCCCAGGTCGATTTACTACAGAATATCACTGTTTGCATTTTAATCTTCTAAGAATTACTTCTCAAAGCTAATGCAATGGGCTACAATGATGCAGAAGAATGACTGTTTGATATTTAAGTACTGAGGTGCTACATAACAACAGAAAGGATTTATTTAGATATTAGTGATTTAAACTACCTTGAAAGTCTTCTTTGTCCATGTCAGAAGCATCACAGTACAATTAATAAATATAAAGGTAAAATGGAAGTAGGAAACAGTCTTGAAATTTCTATACTTATTGTGACAGACTTTTTGGTGCATATAGTTATACCTGTACCATTGACAGAAAGAATGATAAATTCAGCATTTGCCAAGTCCCTGAGATGCAGCAGAAAGAAAATCTAAATGAAGAAAGAAACTAACAGCCTCACTCTAAGACTACTGTACCCAGCCACCATACATATACTTAGCATGGGGCACACCACAGCTGGATTCGTGTAGCACCACAGAATATATTGTTGTCTTGGCCTTTGGCTTGAAGAGAACTATCCTAGTTGTTTCTTTTAGAACACTGGTGTAAATATGTTTTAAATATTCCAAAGAAAGAGTAGGGGTAAAGAGAGAGGGAGGGAAAATGATCTATCAAAGAAAATGCTGGAAAAACAGACAGCAGTATCATTGATGGCTTATGATGGCACCAGTGGAAATGGAGGCTCTATCTGATATACTGTAATCAGCCTGAACCCATGCTACATCCAACTCAACAACTATATTACTGCAAGGTACCAAATGCAGTACTTCTTGCCTCTGCTTCTGTGCAACACAGAAATGTAATGGTAAAATACCCAACCTCTTTCTATTGCTAAGTGCAGATTCACCTAGAATACTGTCTCACCACACAATGCTATGGAAGCATTTGAACTCAAAATCTCAAAAAGTGTAACAAGCATTTACTACGCACAGTTTCCTCTCTAAGGTGGACAAATACTCAACCCCTTTTTAACAGAGAAAACAAATATTCAAATAAATAAAAAGTGCTGTAAGAAATAACTCAGAAATAAATCCATGACACTATCAAGAATTTATTTCTATACACCATAGTCCAATGACAGGTATGTAACCTGAATTTTACATTTTAGTAATGAATCATCATTATACTGTCAAATACAGCAAACAGTTGTGAGCCTGTTCAGTCAATTTCCAATTTAACCCATCATTACATTGATAGTGAGGATGCAGTTTAGAATGCGTCTTTGTAATCAACTGAACTTGCCTATAAACATGGAAGCACCTCTGAAATCAGCTGAACCTCAATGATAATATGTTTTAGATTTAAAATGCAGAATAAATATTTGAGAGTTATACTGTCCACATCTGAATGTTATAAATACAGTATAAACAAGATTTAGGGAATAATTTTATTATGAATTGGTCTCAATATTAGATTGCTACAATACTTGCATACCATGCAACTAATATAAAGTACATTCTGATAGGTATTAGATTTCATATCTTACCTTGAGAACAAAGGTAGACTCCCAGTGGATTATTTACGGATTCACACTCATGAAGCTCCTTTTCACAAATTATGGATGTTCATCAAAGTGTACGCTCAATAATTCTCTGCAACCACTGCAAATGTTTATTTGGACCTATCCTCAAGTCCAAACTGGCTGGGATTCAATTGCTATGAAATGATCGTAGTCTTGATAGCCCATTTACATTTTGCAGGTTGTACTGTGTGTTTTTAATGTTGCTGCAATCCGTACTGATAAGATAAACCTTATCAATATGATCATTTCCTTACACCATTCTTTCTTAATTAGGCTGCTACTGAATTATGAGTACAGTGGTACCTCGCAAGATGATGACCCCGCAAAATGACGAATCCGCATGATGCCGAGGTTTTGTGATCGCCATTGTGCTTCGCAAAACAGTGTTTCCTATGGGTGATTTTCGCTATACGACGTTTCAGTCTGTGCTTTGCAAGACTGTTTCCCCCCCCCGGGACCGATGCTTCGCAAGATGACGATTTTTACAGCTGATCGGCAGCTCCGCAAAATGGCTTCCCTATGGGCGATTTTTGCAAAACGACGACTATTTTCCCCATTAGAACGCATGAAACGGATTTCAATGCATTCCAATGGGGAAATGCTTTTCGCAAGACGATGTTTTTGCTAAACAGCGATTTCAGTGGAACGGATTATCATCGTCTTGCGGGGCACCACTGTAATTACAGAAATTTTAGGTTGTTTAGACACACTTACCAGGAAATAAATATTATTAAACTGAATGGTTTAATAGTATTTACTATTACTATTAGTCGGATTAGACATCAGATTACAATGAATACTGATTAACTGATGTCATAAAAAGAATTTATCTTAGAAATTCCCTGTTAAAGAAAATGGAAATCAATCTTAGATGATATATATCACCTATAGTTGACAGTTTTACTGTATTGTAAGTGTAAGAAACCCAGAAAACTTTCTACTGTTTGCCATGTGAAGAATAGCAAATAAAAATTTTAAATGAGAAATGTACTACAGTACCTATGACAGATTAACTAGGGCAGTGGTTCCCAACTTTTGACTGTAACTCTTAGAAACCCTGGCCAGCATAGCTAGAGGTGAAAGCTTCTGGGAGATTAAGTCCACCAACACCTAAGTTACCCAAAGTTGGGCACTACTGAATTAGGGGCTTTAACTTACATTATGAAAAGTTCCTTAATCATGTAATCTAACCAATATAAACATTGCAGCTGTGCTTCATGAGTTTTCAGCACTCAAAATATTGCATATTTGAAGCATAAACTGCTTACCCATAAGCTGATCCTTCATCACTGCTGCAGTTCTCAGAGTATCTTTTCCTCTTCCAACTTGAATAAGTCTTATTTCTTGATCCTGAAGTCCACTGAAATGAGTACAAAGGAGACTTGAGGAGATAAATTTTAAAAACAGGAAAAAATAGCAACAGAAATTAATGAAAAAGCAAAGAAAAGGATATAAAGGGTATTGCAAAAAAATGCAAGAAGTGTGAAGAATTCTGCATTGGTTTTATTTAAGGCAGTGGTCTCCAACTTGGGCCTCCAGATGTTCTTGGACTTCAACTCCCAGAAATCCTGGGCAGCAAAGGTGGTGGTGAAGGTTTCTGGGAGTTGTGGTCCAAGAACATCTGGAGGCCCAAGGTTGGGGACCACTGATTTAAGGGATCAGATACTACAGTACAAATATAGGACGCAACCTCCATCATGAAAGAGGATTTTTTTAAAAAAAAACCAAAGGAAAGGTGGAAACATATACAGGCTAAATCCAACTGTTAAGTTCCTTGGAGCAATAAGAATTACATATGTTCACTTAGTAAGTGAGCTTAGTGTAGGAAGCTGCAATTCGAGTAGCCTCTTTGACTCAATTCCTTCATGAGCTCCATTGATTCAAAGGGTCTAGTAGCAAATCTAGTAGCAACTCACTATGTTTAAGCAAGAGGATTTCAGCCAGTGAGCTTGCTCTAGTTGAGAGTAACAACTGGATTTGGCCCTATTAATTTTAGTTTAGGTTATCATTTTTCCACTCTCAATTTATTCCATCCTATTTCCATGTTACTTTAAAAGCCTGCATGAAAATTTTCCATATTTTAATAAACATTTTTCACTCTGTCAGATTTGTCTCTCTTTGGGAACAAGTGACAAATGTATCCAATTGAATATACTAAAGCTCCATTTAAAGGAATGGAAAGTTCTTTATTAAAAACTAAGGCTGCCATGTTATTATGCTGATATAAGAGAGACAGATGTGTCTTTAGGGAACCTGGCACAAAGCAATCCTTTAAATGGGCTCTTGTATAGGTTCTATCAGATTTTCTACTACCATTCCAATTTGTCTCCTTAGGGCTATTGTGCCAAATCCTTTGGGAAACCAATGTGTCCCAGCATAGTCATCTTCCTGTTCTATAGATCAACCAGGGCTTCAACAGTTATTGTACTCGCTGAAAAATCCTCAAACATTCAGGTGTCTTTCAATGGTCAACGGTCTTGGAAGATGGACCAACTTAATTGCCCTCACCCCACAGAGATTACAGGTCCCAATGAATTTACTGGGAATTTACTGCCTGAAAACAGAGGGGTTTTCTTCCACTCCATCTACCAACAGATCATTTTCATCCTGACTACAAACACTGTAAAGCTCTATGTGATCGGGTTCTCCTTCTAAAGTAAGCAGTTCCCCTCTTTCTACACAAATGATGACAGGAGACGGAATAGCTTTAGCCAAATGTTTAGTATCTTGAGAAGGGGATGGTGTATTACAACTTCGGTGGGTTCAACAGGACTATTAAACATTTGCAAACAGTTCCACATAGTGTCAGAATCATTCTGTATAACGGTGTCTCTTAACATTTGCCACCCCAAATCTCTCCCAATCAGCTGGATTCCTCAAAGGGGAGCTCTGAATCATGCAGATGGTCCCACAGCATGGGTGTCTTGCCCAGTCCCTTTCGTGTTGGGTCACACCAATAGGAATAGGCTTTGGATGTACCACCTTCTTCCAGGGAACTTTCCCCCTCGGTTATGCTTATACCGTCCATTCCAATGTATCTAATTCTCCCAATTGCAATTCTATCCCTGCAGGAGCTCATCCCAGTACAGGTTTTCCACCCTTCTCAAAACCGTTCTCCTCCCTCTTTGGTACATCAAAAACATAAGGCTTTTCCTTATTTGTTCTTCACTCTCCCTCTTCTTCACCTCCTGTAGCGCCGCCAAGCTTGCTAACGAACCCCAAGTCCTTCCTATTCCCGCCTTTTCCTCCCACTCCTCCATTACTAGCAGACCTTCTACCATTGGTTGTTCTATTCTCGCCCTTTTCTTTTCCTCCTTTTCTATTATCTGAACCTCCCCCAAAGTCATATTTTGAATAGTAGCCTGTACAGTATTCAACATTTTGTTGTCCCCTTCCACCTGAGACGATGGAGGGAATGGCTCACTTTCAGGCTTAACCTCTTTAAGTGATTCTTCTTCACACACTACATCCTCCATTCTTTGCAAAAGAAAGGAAATACAGTCAAAATTAATAGATGCAATTTTCAAATGATACAACCAGTTTTTTCCTTCTCTGCCTTTCTCAACTGGGTGTCTCAAAATATTCATGAATTGCTTATTGCCACAAAGCTGCATAACTGTATCTTTCAACCAACTGTATATTTAATTTGGGGAAATATGAATAATGTGCTTGTCCACATGCAGTTCTATTTAAGCTTTTCAAAGCATTTAAAACAGCAAATAGCTTCTATTTACCCCTTGTAGCGGGTTTTCCCATTGGTAAGCATCTGGGAGCCTTGACAACGGAGACTGAACATACACATCATCTGACTGTGCATCTTTGTTCAACCCCTTCTTTGGTATTCGATACTGAAATGAGACATTGGGTTAATAAGTGTTTCTCGCACAAACTAAAATGGTACAGAATACATCTCCAAACATGAAATACCAAAAAAAAAGTTAAGGTGCAAATTTATGACACTTGCATTTGACAAAATTATGTAATATTGATACAATATTCATTAGCAATAATTACATATAAATCCAGTCTTTATTGAGTACATAATTCTCACTCATTAAACAGAACAACCAAATCGATTTTTTGTTTGGTATGTTTCTAAAAATGTTAGAAACATTTGTTAATTTACATGTGTTAATTTGTTAATTTACATGTGTAAATTGTTGCACCTCATGATAGAAAAACTGCAGATTATTATGAGGAAAACCACCAAATAATATATGTAACTTAGGGGTAACTTACTTTTTGTTGAACTGAAGGTTTTTTCCCACATTCCTCCATACCTACTACTGTATAAGACAGAAAACAACAGTATTTGGTATCTTGCTATAATAATAATCTCCAAACTAGCCGATTAAGGTTCACAGTACTGTTAAGAGACAGTACATATTTCCCAGGTGCTAAAAGTACACATGTTCCTTGAGAATAGTAAGACTTCTCCGATGATAGCGCCCCACCCTATATTTGTATATAGCTGCTGCTAATTATGTCAAAGAATGAAAAAAAAACTTTACAGATTCTTCTGCCATTTGAGGCCTAAATACATCATACTGCTAGTGGGTCTTAGGAAACTTTTTTCTTTCCTATTTCCCCTCCCTGCATCCTACATGCAGCCCTCTGCATCATATCAAAACAAGTGGGGGGGGCAGGTCTCTGACGTTGGCTTTGGGCTATAGGGGGCTTCAGTGGACAGACTTGTCCCTCCCATTCCACTGGTCTCTGCTATTCGTGCTGCAGAAGCCCACGACTGGGTTCTGCCCTTTATGCCTGCTATTGGAAGATTATTAATTCACCAAAAGCAAGCTTGTATTATTCTGCTGTCTGATTATTTCTGAACTAAACATAGAAACAGAACACTCACAGTTCTAACAGTATAGAAACACATATATAGAACAAGCGAGAAAGAAGGAAAAATTATTTTCCTCTACTAGACACCAGTAAAAAGTATCTACAATTGGTAAGTTATCTTCTGTATCACAGGAATAAGCTATGGATTGCAATACATGTCTTGTGTAAGCTTACTGCTGCTACTTTCCTGAATCATGGTCTGGAGACAGAGCATTTTCACCCACTTGCATACTTCTCCCGCTACCTTTTTTTTCTTCCACTGGGCATGTGCACTTCTTCCCTTTATTCCTCTTTTACTGTACCTGCAAAAACTATCCAGCCTTCCTCCTCCTGCACTAACTAGATCTACTGTTGTGTTAACCAATTTAAATGGGCCATGGTTTCAACAGAATTTAGTCCTCTGGCTTTTTACATGCTATTTTGATAGTCCAGCTTGAAGACACAGTGTGCTGCACCTGGCCTGTGAGTGATGACAGCCAGCTGGAAACAGCCAGCTTGCTGGTTTTTACCTAAAGTCAAATTACACTCTGTCTGAAACAGCAAATAATTAGATATGTTAAACACACACAACAGACAAACCAACACAAAGTTTGTCTCTTATAGGAACTAGCCTGATGTGTTACGGGGAAGTTCTTAGATCAGGGTTTTAATCAATTAAGGAAAACTTCCATGTTTTGCCAATGTAATCACCTAACATGCAATCACCAATCATAATCAACCTATTATGTAGAAACACAAAAAATTCATCACACCATCAATAATCTACTTTCACTGATAAATTATTGTTTCCTGGTCAGTTATTGTCTCTCAGAAACTTCGTGGTAAGTTATTGTTTCTTAGACACTTGTCTCAGCTATTGTATACATCTGATGCCTAACTCTGTGCACACAATAAAAATCCTCCTAACCGGGCCGCTATCGGTGCCAGTGTGGAGAATCCTCCAGCAAAAATGTCACAAGCCATAGGAAAACAATAACTAGCTAGGCCCCAAAATACTGGTATTATGGAATGGTAAACAGTGAAGTGTGGCTATGTACTATTATTATTTAAAACATGGTCCTGAAAGCTTCCAGGCATAGGAATTCAGCTTGTCTTGTCTTTCTGGGGAAATATTTTTGGGCCAGTGGGAAATCATTAAGGGATTTTTTTTTGTCTAGGTCCTAGTCTGAATGTTCAGATATTACACCAATTGATGACACTGAGCTTCAAAGTCCAAAACACTTTGGGTCCAGCTGGGCTATATGTATTAAGGGACAGTTTACATCAGTATGAACCAGTCTGTGCTTTAAGATTAAAGATCCTGGACACTGGTCCACCACAAAGATTGATTGCCGCCAAATATCTTCAGTTTTTTTATGACTTCTTTTCCAAATTGTTTACATTTATTTTTGTGTGCTTTTCTGGCTAGTTTAGTAAGAGTATTAACACAACATGAATTTGACATCAAAATCTAAGCTATTATTATAATTTGTTGACAGTGACTTTCACAGTTCTGTATTTCAACCTTTCTTGCAAAGTCTGCAGACCTGAAAGGTGTTAAATAGATCAAGTAAATAATTTGCTATACGATGGCTAGCAACTTACAACATGTGCTGTGCTCTGAAGAAGCAAGGCAAGAAAGTTGACTAATAGTATTAACTATTGCCAAAAGGATATTCCTGTGTTAATGATAGTACAAAGGCAAGAAATAAAATGACTGCAGTTGTGATCCGTGACTGTGCTTATCTTGTAGGCACCTGCCCTCTACATAGAAACGTTTGAGGCTTGCCTTCCTTTCCATAGCAGTTTGGCCTCATATTTGGCCTTGGCAAGCTTTTTATTGTTCCAAAAACAATGGGCTAACTAGGGATAGGACTCTGTGCACCCGAGGAAATAGGTTCAAGTCTTCAGAAACTGCACAATAGGATTTCTTTAAAATCTTTAAAACCCAATTAAAAACATGGTTATACATCCAGGCCTTCCCTCCAGTCAATACCTGATTTCTATTTTCCCTTATTTTTTTTTCTTCTACTTTATTACAATTGTTATTAAACGACTATGCACATTCTTGAGTTTATTGTTTTATCCTATATTGTAAGCCGCCTAGAGTGGACAAGTAGTCCAGATAGGCGGGGTATAAATCAAATAAATAAATAAATTTCAGGTGTCAAGATAATTCACTAAACCCAATGGAAATAATGATGATGATGATGATGATGTGCAGGGAAAACAATTTTGACCAGAAAGCAGCAAGGCTTTCAGAGCTACCTAAGCGAGGACTGGTTCCCTTTGAGACAACTCTGCACACATTTGCCGGGGAGGCAAGTCGGAATCGACGGTCCGGTTTTGTATAATAAACGTACGAACGGATAAAGCTGCAATCCGAAAACAGGCAGGTTGAGCTGTGAAGAAGCTCCAGCGGCCCAAGCGGACTCGCTTCCCGGCCGTCGCACCTGAACTCCCCCTCGCCGATCGCCCTCATCGCCACCTGTCAACGAGGGAACTAATTCGCCCACCAATCCGGTTCCTTCGCCACGTTCAAGGGCCAGCGCCGCGCTGCCTTTCCAAGCGCATTTCAAGAGCTGCCGCGCGGTTGCCCCCAAACCAACCTCTCCTACCTACAGGAACAACTTCTGCCGGGCAGGAAGCGGTTCTGCGCCGGTTCCGGGAAACGGACAACCAAGACAGGTCAGATTCTGACTCGGAGCCCCCGGTCCCCTTCCCTTCTTACCTGGCCGGAGACGGCCCCCTAGCGCCACCCTCTCCGGTCCTTTTTGCCTCCCCAGATTGTCTCCGGTGGCTTGTTTGTCCGGCGCGGCAGCATCCGGCCACTTCCGGCACAGGCGCCGCCCCTTGATTTAAATATATCTTTCTATGGCTATACAGTCTATTTATATATATACTGTACATATATTTTATATATATGGGCGGTGAAGAAGGGGGAATGAGCGTTAGCGAGATTCTCGTAGCCTCTCTGAGGAGCGGCGTTGGGAACGTTCCTCGTTCTCTCCCGTTGCTTCGGTTGGGTCGACTCTAGGCCCCAGGCTTCGGTTTCCGTAGCAACCGTAGGGCCTTTGGGGAATGTACCTTCTCCCCGCAGGCGTTTCGGTTCATCCAAATACTCTTCCTGGGCCTCTCAAGAAATATCAAAATTTGCCCCCAGCCCGTCCACAGAGCGAGTTACAGTGAACTTGTGTTTGGCCTGAGAAGGTGACGCCGAACCAGGCGGTTCAGCCTTGGCCTTTGTTGAAGCCCCACCCCCCAAAAAAGTGTTGAAGATGGCGAGGGATTAATGGGGTTAAAGAGGGAGAAATCCCAAAACCTACTGAAGAAGAGTCACCCAAACTAGGCAAACGTTCAGGTTCACCGGAAGGAATTTGAAGAATAGAATGGGGACGGGACGGGCAATAGAGAAGTAGAGGTTAGTTTGCACGTTGCAAAATCCGACAAAAGGGGGCAATGGCACATATAGGATTGGTGTTAGGGACAAGCATGGCTATAATTTAAGCCTATGACAAGGGAATCGAGGGTGAGCCCTTGCACAACCAAACCAAGTTATTAGACTACCTTAATTTAACACTACAAATGCAGGAGCAGGTGATACCTTTTGTTGGATCACTTAAAACAAATTAAGTAGGCAGCTAGCTTTCAATGATAATTGATCTTCAGAGTTGTGCACCAAGATCTCATGTAAAAATTATGTATATTGCAGCCCCAAAGTTTCATAGCAGGGTTGTTTGTTCCTGCCAGGCAAGTTTCCGAAGGAGAGTTGAGATGCAGTTTCAGGATGTGGGTGGGGGTGGTTAGAAATTCCTCCCTAAGCAGGGACTATATGGGATAAATTCCAAAATGCTGCTTGGAGTGGATTTTTCAATCACCACATCAGCAATTGCAAACCTATAGCACGAATGTCACACTGGCATGCAGAACCCTCTCTGTGGACACACAAGCCATTAGTCGCTGGATTGCTACCCCAGCAGCCAAACCTGAGGAGGCGGCTGCAGCTGCAGTGCTAGCACCCCGACAGGCTGCAGGCCAGGACCCGGAGCAGCTGGTGCTGGTGTGCCAGCTGAGCTATAGGTAGTGGCGAGGTTGGCACGACTGGAGGTGGATCCAGAGTGGGGTCTGGAGGCACCTCTGTGCCCCAGATTCCCACTTCCGCCACTATCACTTTCACCGCTGCCCGCTGTTTGTTTGTTTTGGTTGGGCACGACTGGAGGTGGATCTGGAGGCACCTCTGTGCCCCGGATTCCCACTTCCGCCACTATCACTTTTACTACTGCCCACTGTTTTTTTGGGGGGGGGGGCAGTTTGGTCCTTTGGGCTCAAAAAGGTTTGCCGTCACTGACGCACATCCTGAACCTGTTTGTAGACTTCCTCTCAACTCTCCTTAGGAAACTTGCCTGGCAGGAACAACTGCTATGCCATGAAACTTTGGGACTCTGATACATTCTCTGCTGTCATCTGGGGGAAGGAGAAGAACCCATAGATGACAAATTACAAGTGCAAAAATTAAGCATTGTTGCTTTTTCCCAAGAACTTAAAATTCAACATGTATACATCCAGAGGCCAACTCTCCAGTTTTTCCTTATTGCAGACAAAGATACTGTACTCTGTAACTGACCTGATCACTTTTCTTGGCTATCTGACTGTGCTCTATGACAGTATGCTGACAGAGTTTCCTGTGTTGCCTCTGTTTGTCTTGATAATGGATATACTTTTCATGACAAGTATAAATAATATTTTCCTATACAGTATATGTATTCTTGATATACTTTTCATGACAAGTATAAATAATATTTTCCTATACCTGTATTCTTGAAATCATCTGCTAAAAATGGAAATCACTTTTGAGGAAATGTATTTGAATACATGTAGGGTTATAACTCTTTAATACATCTGGGATGACTGATTTTATACACTCTGAAGAAACATCCATAAAATATTTTAAATAACATTGACTATAACTGAATGTTTGAATATGAGCATGTTTTCAATAGTTTCCTATACCTGTATTCTTGAAATCATCTGCTAAAAATGGAAATCACTTTTGAGGAAATGTATTTGAATACATGTAGGGTTATAACTCTTTAATACATCTGGGATGACTGATTTTATACACTCTGAAGAAACATCCATAAAATATTTTAAATAACATTGACTATAACTGAATGTTTGAATATGAGCATGTTTTCAATAGCATAGATTACTGAAGAAACATCCATAAAATATTTTAAATTACATAGACTATAACTGAATATGAGCATGTTTTCAATACCATAGATTATCAAGATGCCTTTGCGAATATGTGTCACTCCCATACGACAATGCAGTGGTTAATAAAGGAATCACTTACTAGTGCTTCAGTGTCGTGGTTATGATGAAAATGTTAAGAGATGTAAAAAACAAAGATGCTTCAACAGAAGAAAAGAACCACTTTAGTATGCTTATCCCTACTGCCAAGGAGCATATACCAATTAAGAACCACTTTAGTATGCTTATCCCTACTACCAAGGAGCATATGGTACCAATCTGAGTCTTATACTCTCATTTTAAATGGAGAGAGACTATGGTATTTGGAATTTGTGTTTGATCCTTAGAATTACAATTAGAGGAAATGACAGAGATACATAGGTTATAATGGTTCCATCTCTTCAAACAGAATTCTGAAGCACAATAGACTAATGTAACTAGAAGACTTTGATAAGATTCTCAAGCAACATGAATGTAAGTATATTAAAGTTCATGCTAATCTTATCCTCCTTTCTTGAAATAGAAGTCGACCCAAAATGTATCTTGCATTTTCTTCCAACATCCCTCCACATTTCATTGCCAAATAATGCAATAAAATCTATTAATATAATCATTCCAAACATACTCTGAAGAAATGCTAACAGATAGTGTGTCTTGTCTTTACAAGGTTTCTATCTTGTGTAGACCTAAATTTAGAAATTATCAGGGCTACACTAATTGAACTAAAATACCTCAGAAAATATGCAACTAGGTTAATTGCACTGGGGAAAAAGTTAATGAAATAGTCTGCATGCCCCTTAAAGCAGTGGTCCCCAACCTTGGGCCTCCAGATATTCTTGGACTTCAACTCCCAGAAATCCTGGCCAGCAGAGGTGGTGGTGAAGGCTTCTGGGAGTTGTAGTTCAACAGCTGGAGGCCCAACGTTGAGGACCACTGCCTTAAAGCACAACTGTAACAAAAAGTGTGCACACACAAAAAGCATCCCAAAACTCATCCCCCTTCGAGTTCCTCTACTTGAGTTCCAACAGTGCTCCTCACCATTTCTCACCATTTTAAGAAAATTTCTTAGCATGCATGGCTGGAACTCGCAGCCATTCCTGGTGTTAATGTTATGGTAAAAGACAGCACTTCAGTTTGCATCATGCTAGCTTTCTCATAAATAATAATTAAGTAATTAGTAACAGTATGAATCAGGAGGTCCAGAAACATTGGTGGGCATCAATGGATGTCTCCATGGATATCACACTGGAACAGCTAGGAAAGTGTTCCACCAAGGAATGCTCTTAATTACATTTCAGAGAATGATGTAATGTAGAGAAAGCATGACAGAAATCTAACCGAGGTGGTGGTGTGCCTCACTAGACGATGATAATCCGTTCTACTGAAATTGCTGTTTAGCGAAATCACTGTCTAGCGAAAAGCATTTCCCTTTTGGAATGCACTGAAACCTGTTTAATGCATTCCAGTGGGGAAGAATTGTCGTTGTCTAGGGAAGATCGGCCATAGGAAAGGCGCTTTGCGAACCACTGATCAGCTGTTTAAATAGCTGTCTTGCGAAGCTTAGGTCCTGAAAACACGCGTTTTGCGAGCGCGGAGGGAGCTGTCAAAATCATTGTCTAACGAAAATCGGTTTGCAAAGCAGGGACCAAACATTGTCCAGCGAAATTCCCCCATAGGAATCACTGTTTTGCGAATCGCTATAGCAATCACAAAAAGTCAATGTCTAGCGAAAAAACTGTCATGCGGAGTAACTGTCTAGCGAGGCACCACTGTATATAGGGCATGATTCAGTCAAAGTTAAATTGCATTGATTCCAGAGGTTAAGTAACTAACTCCAGTGGGAGCTAAAGTAACCAGTTTTGAGCCATGCCACTATTTCTGGGTGACAGCAGAAAAAACTTTGACAGTAGTATTTCCTTACTATATATACTAGTTAAATACAGTATCATATGCATAGTCAGTCCTGTAGCTTCTCAACAATATCTTGTCACAAGATGCTGAACATATGATCTCAAGAAATGGTCTATTGTTGACATATTCTATCTGTTTTATTTATAGTGGTTACAAATGAATGAAGATCTGAGCTTCAGAAAATTAATAAATGGTTCAGAGTGTCCAGAAATACTTAAATATGACTTTAACAAAAATGGCGAGCTTAGGCATATCGAAACCAATGAACCTTTTGTTTTTAGTTATCAAAATTCTTATTCTGATAATCACAAACGTTACCAAATTCTTGGGCACTTAGTTACGCAGTATGTTTATGAACTTCTGGAAAAGGCTTGCAAATTACAAAAGATTTACATTCCAAAAGATATACCAAAAAATGAACTTTGCAGTTTCTTTTTCATGAGTGAAAATGCATTAAAAAATTGCTCAACTGTAGTTGTCCTCCTTCAAGATCAAGGGACCTTTTGTGCAGGTCAGTGGGGGCAGAAGGTCATAATTCATGAAGGTCTACAACATGGATCTCAAATACCGTTCATTGCAATGGCTTTGCAGTGCTCTTGGGGTGTGATTGTTTTAAATCCCAATGACTGTTTCATTGATCTGAAGACAGAAAAAGAATGCTTAAGCCTATCAGAGAAAGAATACTCCACTTGTCCTAAAGAATCTTGCAGTGTTCCAAAGAGAGACACCAGTAGTCCAGAAGAACATACCATCTATGTTTGGGACCACTTCATTTCAAACGCTACAGCTAGTAATGTGGCCTTCATTGCCCATGGCTATGGAGGATTGGTTTTCGTCAACTTGCTCATGCAGAGAACTTCAGAAGTAATGAACAAGGTGTATGCTGTTGCATTTATTGATTCCACACATCACACTATGTACCAGACACAAGGCAATTCCCAGGTACAGGCATGGATATGGAAACACTGTCAACAGTGGGTGTCAAGCAGTAAGCCTTTAGGTAGGTCAGTGGGCTATCTTGTAAAAGCAGACTGCCCTACTGTTTCTGCAGGGACTGAAAAATATGATCTGGCACCTTCATTTTGTCTACATTCTGTTTTCAGGTGTCTTAGGAATAGACTGAAAATGGGCTCTAAGAAGTGTTTTGTTCGCTCACCTATTGCAACAAGGAGCAAAAAAATTACAAAGAAAAGTTAAGAAAGTATCTCTTTTTCTTTTATTGGTAAAAATTGGGTGCTGCCCTATATGGCTCAATTCAACTTGGACGTATTCTATTTTATACGGATACGTAATACTTATTTTTGAGGAAGCAATGTTACCATGATATTCTGAAAAGTTTAATTTTGAATTACCATTGTTTATTGGATCTTTTTTCCCTTTTTGAAATGCAACTTTGTGTTAATTAGAGATATGCAGATTTGTTTTTGGACTAAAGCGCCTTGAATTCCCTAAAAAGCTGTGTTGGCTAGGGCATTCTGGGCGTTGTAGTCCAATGAAGTATCTGCATATTTCTAACATTAATGCTGAAATTTAAAAGCTCTGTTCCTTCCTATTTCTTACAAATGTACTATTTATGGAAAAATTATTTTTTCTCCAAAATATTTTCATGTTCCTTTTTTGTGAGTAAAAAAAACCCACCACTGAATATGTATATTGTAATTATGAATGGATATACTACTATGTAGCAAATGTTGGAACAAAGAACTTGGACTAGGATCCTCCTAACAATCCTATGCAGAATGCTCCATTACACATGTGGTTCCTTGTTTCTCACCATGTGCATAAGAGAGGTTCATGAACCCTTGCATACATTTGAAAGCTCTGTTGTTTGCAAGCTAGTGACTGTTACTGCAAATGAACACTTCAGGTGCAGAGATGTTACATTCTGCCCTTAGTTGCACAGGTTATCCAAATCATTCAGCCTTCTTACTGTATCACCATACTTTTATGCAGCATGAATAATAGCAAACAGTCCTCAAACTTTTGGCAATACATTTATTGCAATCAGTTCTGCTGATAGTACTTTCCTCTGGTAGTACTTTCCTCGTTCAGAAAATAACTTCTTGCTTTCATCTGTGAAACCAGTAATGTCTTTGAAAAGTAAATTAGCAGTTGGGCTGTAATGGCATACATTGAGATGGCTTCAATTTTAATGATTTTTCAAAAATCCACTTTAATTTTAGATTTCTTCAATGAGACATAACACCAGTAAAATGAGCTGTACAGTATACTCAAATGGTCCCAGTGGTTATATGAACTGCCATCTGTAACAGCTTCTTTGACCAATACCTTAGTACAGTTCTAAAGTAATAAAATAGATTGGTCAGTTTGTTTGCAAATGGCAGATTGGAAGACATGAACAATAAAATGTCTGTCTCTTTTAGCGGTGATCTATACAATCTTGAGGATGAAAATAAAGTCTCATCTGGTTTCAACAGTGAGAAGTATTTGAAGAAAGGTGTGCATTCCAATTTTCATTCTTCTCATTTTGGAGCATTTAAATGTCTTGGTAGAGAAGATCATACTTAGGAATATTCTTTGGATCAATTGGGCTACGTACAATGAGCTTTCCACGCATTGCTCCACGGTAAATCACCTCAATCAAATCTATGAAGTCTTGTTTTGTTTTGAAACTTCCCACAAATTTAGTGTGATCAGGAGATCTAATTAGGAAAGAATAGTAGTAAAAAGTAAATGGAAACAGGAATAATTAAATATTTAAGCTCTGAAATACTTATACTCCAAAGTCTGAGTCCTGAAGAGCTCATACAACAAATTAATGCATACATACATGAAAGTGTGTGCACCCATTCCTTATTATTGGATTTGATCAACTGCTTGTCTAGTCTAGGACTTTGTCTTCTAAGCAGATATTTCCAGGAAGCTTATACTGTAAACTGGGACGTAAAGGCAACTGCTTAAGTAGACAATTAACTCTGTACAGTGAGAGTCTCTCTAATCTAAGCAGATATTTCCAGGAAGCTTATAATTGGGGCGTAAAGGCAACTGCTTAAGTAGACGATTAACTCTGTACAGTGAGAGTCTGTTTAGCCAGAGATATGTTCTATGAATTTGATCCAATTACCCTTTCAAACCATCTAAGTCAGGCCATCATCTATCCTGTAAGTAGATTCAAAAATCAGGTGTTGTCTGAAGTACTCTAAGCAGATATTTCCAGGAAGCTTATAATTGGGGCGTAAAGGCAACTGCTTAAGTAGACGATTAACTCTGTACAGTGAGAGTCTGTTTAGCCAGAGATATGTTCTATGAATTTGATCCAATTACCCTTTCAAACCATCTAAGTCAGGCCATCATCTATCCTGTAAGTAGATTCAAAAATCAGGTGTTGTCTGAAGTACTGCCCAGTATCTACTGCCAATCAGTATCACTCAGTGACCCTGATTTCTAGTATGAAAGACAAGGGGAAGAAAACACCTCACTGTCCATTTTAATCACACCACCCACAATTTTATAAATTTGTTCTCTTTCATTCTTTCTTCAGCAAACAGGAATGTTACTTGTTTATAGTGGCACAAACACTGATTTATCTAGATAACACAAAGATATTTAGGTACTTTTTGCTTCTTCTTTGGATGCTTATTATTATTTTCTCCATATCAAGAACAAGTTGAGCATTTTGGTCAGAGTGTTGGTAGCATGTCCCTACTACTAGGTCACTTATAGAGTACCCATGACAGACAGGTAACATCAGTGCTGTTATGTAACAGGAGTAAACTGCAGTGAGGGTCTCCCTAGCAAGCTGTCTGGCACTACCCCACAAACCTAGCGGAGACCAGGATAGAGCACATCTCCTGGGCTCCTAGGCTGCAGAATGCATCACTGCAGGTGGAGAAAGGGCATCTGGTACTGTTGGCCACAGTCTTTCTGTGCAGGAGTAAACTGCAGTAAGGGTCTTCCTAGCAAGCTGTCTGGCACTGCCCCACAAGCCTAGCGGAGACCAGGATAGAGCATGTCTCCTGGGCTCCTAGGCTGCAGAGATGCATCACTGCAGGTGGAGAAAGGGCGATGGCCTTATGTGGGACACCTGCAGGTGTAAGAGGACTAGAGTGTCATCAACCATGCCAGATGAAGATAAGACATGGGAGGAGGTGATTGAATACTGGGACCTCACCTTCTATGTGTCTACAGAGGTGCAAGCAGGAATAGAGGATAAGGGGAGCCATCTCTTCCTCCCCAGCCTGTTCGGACACGGAAGGGATAGGGAACTCAAGGCTCTGGCAACGCTGACCCAATGTCACCCCAACTTTGGCATCCTTGCCATATGATGGGAGCAGCAGAACCAATGTCACCCCAACTTTGGCATCCTTGCCTTTGGCATCCTTGCCATATGATGGGAGCGGCAGAGTCTACTCTGACCCACCTTTGGCACTGGAGACGCAAGTGGCAACAGGCATGGCAAAGGAGGCTCTTGGGGAACAGTACCACAGAACCCATTTCCCATCTTTATCATCTCTTCCTAAAAGAGCTGTGCCCAGATGGGGACTCATGCTTCCTGCCCACTTTTCCAGACCTGGATTTCTGGGGAGTATTAGTGCTGGAAATTCAACCTCCTCAGAATGTGGGAGGAAGGGGCAGTAGGCGCTGAATCTGTGCCTTTAACAAAAACAGCCATCAATTGCTGACTCTGTTCCTTTAATTTATTTATTTATTTATTTCATTTATACCCCGCCTATCTAGTCAGTTGTGACCACTCTAGGCGGCTTTAACAAAAACAGCAATCAATTGCGCATAACTTATTTTGATCTCAAATACATTTTACCATCATCTCCAAGAGATTTTTCAGCCTGAACTGGATGCTTTCAAGATCCTGCCAGTTTTTCTTACAGAATTAATGTAAAAGTTGCTCATTTATCTTTTTCTTACATCAAAGCACACTGAAGGTTCCATCTTATTGAACCTGCTACCTCAGGAACCCTTGTTTCTCACTTAAAGTAAAAGGGATCTGAGCTGCAGCAAGCCTTGTGTTTTCAGAAATTGAAATGTGTCATCACATCTCCATCCCACTAAGCACTGTGAGCTTCCTTGTTATAACCTGATATCTACACGTCACTAACTTGTCCCGTCTGCAACCTGTTATGGATCTCGGTTAAACAGCGGATGCCCCTAATTTTCATATCTCGTAGCCTGATTAAGAGTTCTGGAGGGTTTAAAAGTTTGCAAACTTGTGGCATTTTACTTCGTCCTAATAGATACTGCCCAGTTTCTGGAGATTATGGAGAAATATTTTTATTCACTCAGTTTAGAGCTTGAAATATTTGTGATATAAAGAGGGATAATGTCAGTATTATTTTAGTAATGCTTCAAATTATTAAATAGAGCATACCTGTACCAGTGGAATAAGGACTACAGTAGGACCCCCATATCCTCTGGGAATTGGTTCCAGGACTCCGTGGATACTGAAAACCATGGATATATCATCATATATATCATGGTAAAAAGAGGTGGGAAGGGAAAAAATGTTCATATGCACTACCAGAACTAGAAGGTGCCGGAGACCATGCTCTGTATTCTTCACTAACAAGAGTTCATAGCATGGTCTCTGGCTCCATCCAGTAACCTGTTCTGGTAATACATGTGAAAACAATGTTTTCTGATTTTATTTCTTTGAATATATTCAATATTTTCAGGCCATAGATAAGTGAAACACTGGATATGGATCCCATGGATACAGGAGCCCTACTGTATTTAGAGCAAATAATAAACCAAAGATAGATTACCACAGACACAAATGAACTTACCCATAATCCACTTTCATGTGCTGCCCATTGAAAAAGAAGACAGTTGATGGAATATAGCTGATGTCAAAATATTGGGTGTACACCGGCACGTTGTTTACATCCACCAAATAAATAGAAGCCATTCTGCTTAAGTCATGAGATGTTTTTGCAAGCTGTAGACAAGGACAATTTGTTTAAGTGGTGTCCAATATAAGAAATAAAGTCTGGACAACGCTTACACTATTTTAGACTAGAATTGTAACTGAAATCTGTTCGATGAGATGTTTTTGCAAGCTGTAGACAAGGAGAATTTGTTTAAGTGGTGTTCAATATAAGAAAGTCTGGACAATGCTTACACTATTTTAGACTACAATTGTAACTGAAATCTGTTTGTGGTTTTGTTGTTGAGGAAGGGGAAATAATATGTAATTCTGGCCCGCTTGTCCCCCGGCCGCTGACAGTGCTGTGTGTGCAGTGTGTGTGGAAGGGGAAATAATATGTAATTCTGGCCCCCTTGTCCCCCAGCCGCTGACGGTGCTGTGTGTGCAGTGTGTGTGCTCTGGCTTTCCCCGGACACACCAGCTCCGCTGCACCATTTATTACTAATATGTACAGTCAGTGTGTGTGGACACACCAGCTCCGCCGCACCATTTATTACTAATATGTAATTCTGAAATGTAACTGCTTCATGTCAGTCACTACACAGGACTAGAAGCATCAAAACACTGTGCTCTTAAAATACAATAACAAGATCAAAGTGGTCTTGGCAGCCTAGATTAGGACCAAGATACAGTACCTAAAGTACTAAGGTCTGCCATACAAGTGATCTGTTGAAATAATCACAGATGATTGTGCTTCACATGCTGCCATCACCAGATGCACGGTAGATGGGAACGTGAAGTAAATCTTATTCATTGTAGCCCTGCTCTCTTTTTATCAGTTTCGTACATCGCATGGAAACCTTCCATCCCTGCTCTCTTTTTATCAGTTTCGTACATTTCATGGAAACCTTCCGTCAGGTATATCAGGCAAAATCTAAAGGGGGGAAAACCCAAAGAAGACAAAATCATGTGGCACCTTCAAGGCTATTATATTTTAATACAGTATGAGTTTTCGTAGGCATGTGTTTTTCCCCCTAGGTGGCTGGGGAGTTTTTACTCCCTTGGCTATTTTTGTATGCCAGCTGCTCTACGAGGAAGATTTTAGCGTTTTCTTGCATTTAAAAATTTTGACCTTTGAACGTCCCAGTGATAATATTTACTCGAGAGTTTGGAAACGTAACTTTCTGGACCCCGACGTATATCGACCGAATATTGCAGGCTGGGGGAATTCTGGGAGCTGTAGTCCAAAACGCTTCCTTTTCCAAACCCGGCTAATAACACACGCATACACGCCATAAGGAGAAACCAAAACCTTCTCACAATGTCATCCAGCTGCATGCAAACCAGATCGTTATCTCTGCCGAAGCGAAGAACCAGGACTTTCTCCGCGACGCCCTTGATCGCTTCGTCCACCTCCTTTTTGCTGCTCAGTTTGGGCAGCAAAAAACTCATCGCGACCGGGAGAACCGGCGAGAGCCGCAGCGCGAGCCCACGCCGGCCAGTTTGGTCGGCCTCGGCCACTCTCCTGTGATTGACTTCAGAAGCCGGCCAATCAACGGCAACGGCCGCTGAGCGTTTTCCGTGCACGTGGTTTGCTGCGGAAGGAACGGAGCGGGGTGGCCGCGTGCGCGTGGCTGTTTCCGGCAGGAAGAGCGATCGTTGGAGGCGGCGTGGTTGCAGCGTTTTGAGTTTACGCGGTAGGTGACTTTACTTTCCGAGACTGGGGGAAATGGCCAACGATGTGTCGGGAAGCAGCAACATTTTCTAATTAAAAAGTAACGTGTGCCGGCTTCCTCCGCCCGTAGCATATTGGTCAATGGCTCGCTGCTTCGTGTCGTAAATTGAATTAGAGTAGCCCCTTTGAATCAGTGGAGATTTGGTGAATCAACTTCTCCATAAGTTCCATGTTTTCAAACGGGATGTTGTAACTGTGACTCATTTCAACATGTTATTTGCTGGTATATATTCACCTCGACTTATATAAATCAAGTAAATAAAAAATTATGGCGACCCCTATGGATGAGCGATCTCCAAAGTATCCTGTCCTCAAGAGCCCTGCTCAGCTCTTGTACACTCAAGGCTGTGATTTCCTTTAGGGAGTGAACGCATCTCGTATTTGGGTTTCCTCTTTTCCTGTTGCCTTCAGCCTTTCCCGGCATTGTTGTGTTTTCCAGAAAATCTTGTTCACTCCCATTTTATCATTTTTACTTCCAGAGATAGGTCTTGCTGATAACTGATCTGCTCTAGGACTCATTTGATAATTTCATGAATTCCTTCATAAATCAAAGAGGCTGTTGGGGTCCACATTATGAGAGGAGATGTTTGTATGCAATTGTGCCAACGGTGCCTGTTTCCTCATTTCAGAAATCAGGTGAGGCTTTGAAAGGATCATTTGATGAGGTGACAAGACACTCCTCAAGAGACATTAGGGAGCTATTAGGTACCATAAGCCTCCTACAGTGCTCCATCTTAATTTGCCCAACTTCCAGTGGTTCAGAGTTCCCGAGAGTGTAAACCCCACCAGATAATGATCTGTCCATAACAACAGAGACTTTCTCTTTATGTATGAAATCTCTGCTTCAGTTCTCCTAAGAGCACTGATTCTACTAAACTAATCTGGTTTCACTAATGAATAAAGATAGTGGCCTTCTTCAGGTATTCGTCGCAGCTTTCTTACATTTCAGATGTGGGAAAGGGAAGCATTCTCATCTTTGGAAAGCTCCCAATGTGATGAAGGAAAGTGGTGGTCCAAGGTTCTCAGTTGGACAGGCACCTTACCCAAATAGATTTAGCCCTCAACAGACAGTGACAGAATTGCTGACTGTTATCTGATAGTGAGTTGCTAGAGAGCATGGCTCTGCTGCTCCCCCCACACCTGGAAATATGTGAGTGGGGAATGCTTGAATAATACAGTTATCTTTCTTTGTCTGCTGTACTGGAGAACAAGAAGGATCATAGCTCATGTGATTATTTTACATGTATAGTTTCTCTCATTTTTCTATTTTTTCTTATCACAGGGTTTATGGATTTCCTTCATTAGAGCTGTAAGATGATAGGAAGTAGCCTTAGTCACAGCTATCGAGAGTTTCCCACCTCTACATGAAGTGTTGAAGACTGAAAGTAAGATCATCTGTGTGTAAACTCTGTGTGTTGTACCAGCGATTTGTGATCCTTCCTCTTCTCCAGTAGAGCAGACAGATAAAACAAAGTGTCCTGATGGAAATAAAAATGGGCAAGAACAAAATGTGAAAAGGCTTGAAAATAATTGCCTTGAAATAAGTAACAGTAGCCTGAACGATTCTCTCTGTCTGTCTATAATGCATGTAAGAAAAGGCTTGAAAATAATTGCCTTGAAATGTAACAGTAGCCTGAACGATTCTGTCTGTCTATAATGCATATATATACAGCTGCCCATGAACTGGAAACTAGAGATGGGGGTATATGAATATGAATGCTCCCACACATCTGGACATAACGAAGGCCCGGCCCCCTGCGGCTGGACTGTCCACTCACGTGTCCGCTGCCACCACTGGCTCCACTCTCCCAATCGCTCCAGAGCTCACGGTCGGCTATCCACTTGTCATCCTGGTAGGGAGAATCATCTTCCCTCCTTCTGCCAGGAGTAGATAGTTGACCGTGAGTTCCAGATGGAAGGGAGGGGAGAGCAGAGCTCACGGTCAGCTATCCACTTGTCATCTTGGTAGGGAGAATCATCTTCTATCCTTCTGCCAGGAGTAGATAGTTTACCACGAGTTCCAGAGTGATTGGAAGGGAGAGCGGAGCCAGCAGTGGCAACGGACGTGTGAGTGGAAGGTCCAGCCCCAAGGGGCCGGACCCTCGTTACATCCAGCTGTGCAGGGGTAGTCACATACAAATACCCCCATCTCTACTGGAAACCAATCATCTTTGGTGGGGGTGAAGTAAATCGAAGTTATATTTTTAATGCATATTAACTGTATTGAGGCTGAAACCTCTTTATGTTCACAAAACTTCTCTTTTCATTCCCAGAATCTGGCTTGCAGTGCAATATAAATACAAACAAATATCAGAAAGTAACTGAATATTAAAGCAATTAAAAGGTAACATGTTTTGTGGACTATGTTTTCTCTTTATCGTGGGTGTTTTTTATTTTGGTTAAAGTGATCTTATATTAATGTTATTTCTCTTTACTTGTTAATTGACTCTTGTATCTGGGCACAATTCAAAGTGTTAGTTTTAACCTATAAAGCCCTAAGCAGCTTGGGTCTAAGCTATCTTTTAAAAAATGCATTTCCCAGTAGGAGCCTGCTTGGATGTTAAGATAATCAGGGGAGGCTTTTCTTTCATACCCACCACCCTCACAGGTGTGCTTGGTGGGGACATGAGAGAAGGCCTTCTCTGTTGCTGCTCAAGACTCTTGAACCTCCTCCCACTTGAGGCCAGGCCGGCCCCATCTTTACAGTCCTTCTTCAAGCAGGCAAAGACCTTTCTCTTCAGACAGGCTTTTCCTTAGCTACTGGTTGTCTAAGATGGGTTTTAAAATGAAATGATGTGTATTTTTCTTTCTTCTAAATCTAATGCTTTTGCCTAACATTTTAAATAAAATGCTTATTTAGTTCTTTTTTAGTATTTGAATACCAATTTACTGTTTTTAGCTTCTAATATAGTGTTTTTAATTATGTTAGCCCTCTTGGATTCTTTTTAGGAAAATGGTGCGGTAAAATACTTTAAATAAATAAATCTCACCTTGGAATAGGGCAGTAATTGCTTGGTAGTTGTATGCTAAGGGGTCAAGTATATATTAGTTTCCTTGTGTTTTTATTAAAATACCATTAGAAGGAAGAATAGGATGAGGACAGGATTGCTGAGCTGAGGCTTCTGATGCTCCTTCATAAATTCCTACATTTAATTTCCCATTTCTCTTCTGCACTCTCCCTTCTCTTTAAAATATCCAACAGCTTTGCTGTACGAAATCTTCTTTTTCTTTTATTTCTAACTATTATTTCTCAGTGTTTCGCTGCCGTTCAGCACCATATATGTTTGTTCCTACTATCATCCTTTATGTTAGTTTAGTCATTACTAGTTCCTATTTTGCTTCTATCTACATATACTGAATTATTTTGTTTCTCTATGTAATTACAGAACTGCTGCACATACTTTCAAATAATGAGAATTTTAAGTGTCTGTCTAGTGAATGTCATCAGAAGATCTTTCTTCCAGCTGACTGCACAAAGTGGAACATTTTTAATACTGCGCAGCAAGGTCAATACTTGTAGAACATTTGTTTTGTCTACGTGCTTGAACAAAAATAGCTTGCCAGATGCAACTGAGAAATTAAACTTGGATGGATGGAAAGATCTCATGCGAACAACCTCACAAGAAGAAACCAGTGAAAAAGACTCAGATGCTGAAGAAGACCCTAATTTAACAGCTACTAAGGAACTTATTGAAGTGTTGAGACTTACCACTAAACTTGTTCCAGAAAATATCAGTGAAGAACAGTTTCAGAACTTATTAGAGCTTCCCACTAAAACTTCCAAAAAGAAATACTTAGCTTTCTTGTTTAAAAGAGAACTTAAGAAAAAAGCTGAGAAAGAAAAGAAAGAAAAAAAGAAAGAATCATCCAGGGAAACTTGTGTTGAGAAAAATTCCAGCAATAAGCCAGAAAATAGACTTATTAAGTCGTTTTGGAGCAAATCAGAGGATATTGTGCACAGCTGGAGAGTTGCCCAGTCTATGATCTTCGGGCAGCCTCTCGTGTTTGACATGAGCTATGAAAATGAAATGTCACAGAAAGAAATAAAGTATACAGTGAAACAGATGATGGAATGTGAAGCGTTCAATCGCAGAGCCAAAGATCCATTTCACTTTCATTATTGCAGTCTCACGACAGATAGTCCGTATCACAAAGAATTTGTCAAACGTTACGGAGAAGCGTGGGACAAGTTGCTGGTGACAGTGAGTGAAAAGGCTTATGTTGAAATATTTCCAAGAGATCAGATTGTCTACTTAACTGCTGATTCTCCCAATGAAATGAAAAAGTTTGAGAATGATAAAATTTATATCATTGGATGCCTAGTTGACGGGGCAGGAAAACCAGGTATCTCCTTTGCTCGTGCAAAACGGCTGAACTTGGCAACAGCTCGACTTCCTTTGGACAGATACCTGGATTGGCAGATAGGTGGCAAAAACCTCACTTTGAATCAAATGGCATGTATCTTATTAGCTCTGAAAGATACTGGGGACTGGAAGGAAGCGCTCAAGTTTGTTCCACAAAGGAAACATTCTGGTTTTGTGGGAACTTCTTTAACAGAAACTGGGATAGGCATGAAAACAAAGACAAACAGGATAACAGCTAGTCAAGGAGTGTCACATTTTGCAGCCAAGTCCTCAAACAGGCAAACGAAGATTAAGTGGTGGGAAGATGTCTCTTCATAGTGTATCAGTCATGGGTTATGCTTGACACAGGTTTGATTTAAGGCAAAATGTATCCTGCACAAGCTTTTGACTATTTGAAAATTTCCTGAGTCTTGAGTGACATTGATTTCTGTATATGTAGTGCAAGTACATGCTTAACTTTCACACATCATTGTGAGGACTAAATTCAGCTGAATTGTGCTCTGTGTCATTCAGGGCTCTTGTGATGGAAGAACTTCTAGATGTTTAAAAATCCAATGTTTTTTTTAAAGTGATATTAAAAACTTCAGTAGTACGGTAATTGAACCTAAACTTTCTGGGCCTGACTTCTGGATGAGCTTTTCCACACAGTTTGTAAGATGAAACCACAAAATAATATATAAAAATTACAACTCTTGTGACATGAAAAAATTCAAATACAAGTTGGTATTCAAGACTTATCAGTAGTCCCAGCTGGTGGACTATGTGGCATGTGTGGCTCATGGCAGCTGGTGTTGAGCTGGTTCACAGATTAGAAACATTCAGGGGTCAACAATATGCTGATGCTATATTGCTGGGGCCAGTTTACCACAGGTGATGCAATGCAACACATTGTGATTGCTTTTAAGCATGTGCTAAACAATATGGAGCTCATATTTACAAACCTCTCATTATTTCTGTTTTGCTCAAAATGTAAAAATTCTGCAAAGTGTGTTGACAGCAATGTAGCTGTGGTTGTACAGTACAGTACTGAGAAATAAATTCTTGATTTCTTGGAATATACTACTGCTGTTCCCTTTCTATGAACCATGTTTTCCTGAAAATAAGACAGATTCTTATATTAATTTTTGCTCCAAAAATGCATTAGTGCTTATTTTCAGGGGATGTTTTTTCCCCCCATGTAGAACAATCTTTGTTCTTCTTTAGTCGTTAAGTCATGTCCAACTCTTTGTGACCCCATGGACTACAGCAAGCCAGGCCCTCCTGTCTTCCACTGCCTCACGGAGTTGGGTCAAGTTCATGTTGGTGGCTTTGATGACACTGTCCAACCATCTCATCCTCTGACGTCCCCTTCTCTTGCCTTCACACTTTCCCAACACCAGGAGCTTTTCCAGGGAGTCTTCTCATGAGATGGCCAAAGTATTGAAGCCTCAGCTTCAGGATCTGTTCTTCCAATGAGCACTCAGGGTTGATTTCCTTCAGAATGGATAGGTTTGTTCTCCTTGCAGTCCAGGGGACTCTCAAGAGTCTCCTCCCGCACCACAATTCAAAAGCATCAATTCTTTGGCGGTCAGCTTTCACTTCCATACATCGCTACCGGAAAAACCATAGATTTGACTATGAGAACTTTGTCAGCAAGGTGATGTCTCTGCTTTTTAAGATGCTGTCTAGGTTTGTCATTGCTTTCCTCCCAAGAAGCAGGCGTATTTTAATTTAGTGGCTGCTGTCACCATCTGCAGTGATCATGGAGCCCAAGAAAGTAAAATGTCACTGCCTCCATATCTTCCCCTTCTGTTTGCCAGGAGGTGATGGGACCAGTGGCCATGATCTTAAGTTCTTTTCAGGTTGGGCTTCAGACCATTTTTTGTGCTCCCCTCTTTCACCCTAATTAAGAAGTTTTTAAAGTCCTCCTCACTTTCTGCCATCAGAG